GTTAAAGGCAAACACAAGGTTGAGGAAATTCTCTTGGAAGAGTATGAGGGAATGTGAGAAAAGACAACCAGCTTGTCCAAAGCAAGAGTCAGCGGAGAGGTACGCACATCCACCGCCTGTCGCGTTCGCCCCGTGTTAGCTTTCGGTCTCTCCGCTGCGCTTGCCTGTCTTAGCTAAGCGGCGTGGCCTGGGCCAACATCAACACCGAGAGGACTTGGGCCTGTATCAAACATGACGCCAAGGCCGTTTTTTAAAACCACACTGGCTGCAGATTTACATCAGAATGTTCCGTCTCTGTGAGGCGAACAGCAGCTAATTTTTATGGAAGAGCCACAGATTAAAAGAGTACAGCCTCAGACTAATGCATTTCAAGCCTTGCACAAGTAAATAAATGGCCCCTTGTCATGGCTGGTGTATAAGACATCTAACCCCCTTATCAGGCCTCAGGCTGGGTGAATTTAGGTGATGCAACCCCCAACCCCTCCATGCTAGCATCTACATGAAAAAGGTCACTTAAATGCAGTATCAATAAAAAAAGAGTCGCCTGCTATGAATAAGTAGCAAAGCACAAGGATGTACTCTGTTGGGAAATCCATTTGTGCACACTCTAGAGACTAAACAACAAAAATAAGGAGTGCCAAGCTGGCGCCGGTCCAAGCCAAATTACGCAAAAATGTGCACTTCTATCCCCCTGGGTGTCTCCTGTGGTTGTTCCCTTGAGACACATAGACACAAAGAGGCTGAATAGGGAAACAAGAGAACGAAGACACAGAGTCAACGAGGGCGTGTGTTGCTTTAAGAGGCCCATCATCGCTCGACCAAACAAGTTGAATCTGAACCCTGAATGAAGCTATATGCTTCGGGGGATATTTCAATCATGTGAAGTAATGGGTATGCATGAACTCCCAAAACAATAGGCTACTGTACGAATGGGAGTAAATCCCCCTAAAGATGTCTGGCGGAGGCACATTCGCTGTGGGTGCTTTGCCTGTGACTTCTGTGCAGCCGCCCCCCCCCGCCCCCTCTTGCCTTGTAAACCCCCCAGCACGCCACACACTTTGAAGATTTTCACAGCTCTGGGTGGATATAGTGCGGCTTTGGAGGCTGGAAGGATCCTGAGGTGACACACACACACACACTCAGAGATCAGGTAGCTTGTATCATCTCCATCATTAACCTATCCATCAGTGCCGCAGCTAAGGTAACAGACAGTGTGTGTGTGTGTGTGTGTGTGTGTGTGTGTGTGTGTGTGTGTGTGTGTGTGTGTGTGTGTGTGTGTGNGTGTGTGTGTGTGTGTGTGTGAGTGTGAGTGTGAGTGTGTGTGAGTGGACATGGGGCGGCTGCTTTGAGGGTTGGGGGGGGTGGGGCAATCCAGCGTGTCTTTTAACTCTAGCCTAAGCTTTTGCCACCATAAAGGTCAATGCCTCGACATCTGCTGCTCTCTCTGAACCTCTCCTTTCATAAAGGGAAGCAGGGAAGAGGAGAGGACCCTGGGGAATGGATGCACACACACATACACACACAGATCTACTTTTATGTCTACGTACACTTACTCTCCTCATCACACACACACACACACACTTGTTCGGCTGCAACAATGCCGTAGAGCTCAAACCACACGCTCAATGCTGACAAATACAAGAACACAAGGTTTGTCCCTTGAAAACAAAAGCTCAGTAGTATCATTACACCAGGCTTTTGGTCTGAAAGACTGCATGGTTCCTTTTTTTAATTTTTGGCAGAGGGATAGAGAGGGCTGAGCTAAATGGAAACCTGTCCCTCAGGGGCAAAGCAAAGGCAGAGCGGTGTTGAAATAAGTGATTCATGCTTTTATCATTCCAGGTGAACAGTGCTGCTCTTTGAGCTTTCACGATCAGTTTCTCTGGCAGCGAGGAGGAAAAATTACGAAAGCAATGTTGTCGTTTTTTAACCCCTTTCACTTGTTTTTTTGGCCCCTCGCCTACAATAGAGACGGCGATCTGGAGGTTTTTGCCAATTTGTGTTCACATGGAAATCTATACAGTTCTGAGAAAGCCACGCACGGAGAGATTGGTATAATGTGGAAAATTAAAGGTTTGAATTGCACATTTTCAGATTGCATCCTCAAACAGGTGCACAGAAACTAGATGGTGTCACCCAGAGCTAGATCCATTAGGGAATTGGACTTTTATAAGCAAAATGCTGGATTGTGTTTGAATTTCGCTTAAATTTTAATATTTTCTGCTGTTGACTGTTTAATAAGATGCTAAATTGAATATCTCCAGGTTCTAGACAGAGTAAGGGATGAGTCAATTATTGAGGCAGATTGCGAGATTGTTCAAGTTTGTGTGATACTGTTTTGCATGTTAAGCTTAAAAAAGCACTCCCTCATATGACCTAATGTGACCTCATATACTTCACATGTTGCATAAAAATCACAAGTGAAGTCCATTTTATTATTGACCACATCCACCTCTGAAGGAGGAAACTCCCCCAAGCCACCTTTCACATCTCCAAGGAGTCAGTGTTTGATATTTGAGATGTACAGTAGTTTGTGGATTGTGTATCATAGCATTCATGTGTTTTATGGTCCATGCTGAAAAGCTCTGGCTCTCTGGAAACCAGAGTTTCCAACTGAATAAAACAATCTACATGCTAAAGTTTACCGTGAATGGTCAGATACATTTTTAACTACAAGCTGCAACCCTGCACTCCCTGTATCAAACAAATGTGAGGATGATATTCAATTGACAAACTGATAAACAGATTTCCAGCAGCAACCAAAATTGTTCAGGATGACAATTCAACAACACAAACTCAGAATACGGCTTACGACAAAATGAAAAGCTCTGAACGCAACATGAGTCAGGTCAAGCATAATTATACATTTCAATTCAAAGACAGTAGGGGTGGGTGATAAAACAATAAAGATAATTAATGCAATATATTTTTATAAATAGCAATATAACAACTGTGAGTACAGTGAGGAGGATTACCTCATAATTGATTTAACTCAGATTTGTAATATTTTATGCCGTTTATCAAGTGTTAAAACTGGAGCCTTCACTTAGTCTTTAGACTCACAGAAATATGAATGTGACATTGACGGATATCAACAGATACAAAAACTTTTATCCTGATGTCATGTTTGCTATACTGAGAGTCATGATAACATTAAGAAGCCTGCGGTTGTAGAGCCCCTCCCCGTGTAAAGCCAGAAGCATGGGGGCACGGGGCTGCGGTCAGCCTCTTGTGCCTCCAACCGTCATTGTGACCATGGCCAGCCCCTGGCTAAAGAAGAAGCCCCTTATGGCACTTTAATTTTCTGTTAAACCTCCCTTAGCTTCGCACGCACCCATCCCATCTTCCTCCCTCACGCTGACCCCCCGCTCCCTCTCTCCCCCTTCGCCTTCTTGCAAAACACACATGAATCTGGAGATATCATCTGGACAGGTGGCCAGCCACCCAGACCTGACCCGCCTGCCCTCTTGCTCCCTCCCTCTGCCTCCTCCCCCCTTGTACACCCTCCTCACCACCACCACCCCCAACTGAAATCAGTTCAGGTCTGCTGGAAAGCCCCAAATGAACATGCACAGTAAACCGCCCCCCAAATCCACCTCCCCTTCTTTTACCAACACACACACACACAACTCCAACAAGCCCTGAAAAAGTCTGTCACCCACTGAGCTGTCTGTGGGGATTATTGCCTGGACAGTGCAGAAGAAATACGTCTGTTTCTAGCTTGTGTGGAGGCAAATAAATCTGACCACGGTTTAAAGCACAGCATCGCCAAAGCTGGAGAGGGGAATGGGCTCACTTGAGCACAACACTGGGTGCAGGGTCAACCTTGTTAATTGGTTAAATTACAGAAGATATGAGAAACAACAGAAAGCAAGACTTTAAAATTCTCAATCCAGACAGTCAACAAATACTTATTTCTCATTCAAAGCCTTTGCTGGGAGACACATGAATTATCTAGAGGCAATTCCCTTAAATGACCTCATTTAAACTGACTAAATGTGACAATCCCAGAGATAAAGCTTTTGATTTGACAAAGGGGGGGGGGGGGTCCTGGTGTTTAAAGCAGCTGGTTATCAGATATTCATGAGCCATCAGGGGGACATCATTTCAACTTCTTCAGAGCAGCTTAAAGTCATAATCATTACGCTGGAGAATAATGAGAAACCGAATCAATGGCTCTGGCGAAGAGAAAGATCATGTGTCAGTGAGGCTGATGGTACAGTTTCGTCCTTAGGTGCACTCTTCATCCACGGTGCAGTGAGAATGGGATTTTCTTTATCTGTTTACACACCGTGCAGCTGCAGACGCCTGTTTGTGCAGTGACGACTTATTTACACCGCGGTGGGTTACGTTACTTGCGTGGCTGCTGGTATTCCAGTACACGCCACTCGCCCACGGAGTAGTATTTACAAACAAGCACGTTGTGCAGAAAAGCTTAAACTGCACACGAAAAAGCCACAACGTGTTTTATGCAGCTAGCCGGCACCTATTATCGGACAGCTAGCTGCGCTGAGTGGCGACTCCGGCTCGCGAGGAGGCTAACGAGTGGCGAGCACGTTTCGAAAACAAGCGCAGGACCATTGAGGGTTTTCACTGGGCTCAGATGCTAAATTGTGAGCCTTCGTGGTTGTGTGTGTGTGTGTGTGTGTGGCTTGCATGGCTAGCCTGCTAGCTCACAGCTAACCGTTCTCTAAGAAGAGGGGGGGGGGGGAGAAAAAAAGAAGGAGAGAGAGACCACCGAGGGTGAAGTATCGCTTAGCCGGGGCTAGCTCACAAAACACCGCAGCAACAGTCCGCAAGTAACCGGGCACAGAAAACACACACGGGCACACACACACACAGACAAAGACGCCGCTCCAGGAGAGCACACAGGCGGGTCAGACTCCCCGGTTAGCCCGGGCTACAGCACATGGACGCGAATGGAGCTAATTCGTGGCGATAACTTGTGTTCACGGCAACTCCGCTCCCCCAGCAGCAGACCCCCCGAATCTCAGACTCACCCTGTCACAACAGGCGCCATCTTCCACAAACTCCCACCAAAACTCCAGTACTCGCGATATCCTTTTTTTTTTCTTTCTCTCTCTTTTTTTTTTTTTTTTTTTATCCCTCCTCTCCCCGAGCAGCGCGACAATCCGCCGAGACAACAGAAGCAGACTGGAGGCGCAGGGACGAGGGAGACGGAGAGAGAAAGGGGGTGGGTGAGGAAGACGGAGAGAGAGAGAGAGAGAGGGAGAGAGAGAGAGAGGGGGGGGGAGGCGGCGGGTAGCAGCAACTCACACATACATGGAGGGAGGGAGGGAGGGAGGGGGGAGAGAGAGTGAGCGAAAAGGGCAGACGCCACAACAACAGGCGTGGGAAACTTCCGAGATCCCGCGAGACTTGGAAAACTCTCACAATAGGCGAGCGCAGAGGGAGCGTCACCTCTCGCGAGACTTGCGTCAGGCGGAGTGCTTGTTTATCCTGTGGCGCTGGAACAGTGTTCCCACGTGTTTACCAGGTAATAAATTACAGAGGAGGAGGGGTGGGGTGGGGGGGGCGGCTGGTGTGGCGAGTGAAGCCTCGGGTTTTTTTTCCCACAGTCACACACACACACACACTTACATTGACATACATTGAGATCCACTCTCTCTAACCTTCACCTTAGTTACTACCTAACCCTGACTTTAACCTAAACCTAGCTGAACACAATCTTAACCTAAAACACGTCTTTGCCTTAAATGTTAATGATCTACGTTATGAAGATTTGACTTTTGTCCCCGTAATGTGATTGTTTTAACACATTTAGGTCCCCACAACATGAGTAATACCTGGGCTACACACACACATGCATATAGTATGCATCCTGTTTCCTCACCGCGTCCCTGCAGAATTCAACGGCAGCAGTTAAAGCCAAAATATCCTTTTTATTTTGAAGATGTTTCCCAAAAGTGTTCAGAATAACAAGAGCAGAGTAGAAGCGAGGCGGATTTTAAATCAGACGTGGAATTAAGGAGGGAGGGTTTCTGCACCCCCAAAATTTACAATTCCCTTGGGTAGCATCGCAGTTCCTGTTTAGAATGTGGAAACAATGGTGTGACCACATGTGAATGGGCCATACAGGGCAGATTAGTGCATTGCCATCACATTGGGGAGTCCCATGACTGCCCTCCTCACAGTCCAAACCTCAGTCAAAGTACAAGGGAGGCTATTATTTAGAATGATCATGCTTCCAAATGTGGCATAGACTTAATCAGCCGTTCTGCGCCGGCCTTCCCCAGCTCCTCCCCCGGCTAGATTGCATCTCCAGAAAGTTTGCGTCGAATCCTCACGTATACAAACAGGTCAGGTTGCTCTTGTTTATCTGGGAGGGAGGAAAGGAGCAGGGGTGTCACAGAGCCATAAACTTTCATGTAGGTCTCCATGCCCTTATGTGTTGTTGTCTTCTGTAACAGCCCTCATTTAAATCTGTTTGGCATCTTTGTTCACCTCACAACTGACTTCTAGTGGCTGGGGACTTTTTTCTTGCTTCAAAGAAAAAGTGAGGACCTCTGAGATGACATTCATGGCAAATCAGTGCTCCTCATTACGTGAGTCTGTGTGTGTGTCTGCTAATGGCTGTTTTCTATGGGAACATAGAAAACAGCTGAATTTAAAAACTACCAAAAAAATAGTTGGCAATCTTGTCTCATTTTCCTGCAGATTGTTATTTCATTTTATTTAAGTTTCATATTTTCATGACATATAGTTATATATTTTTGGTAAATATGCCTTTTCTGTCTACATTTTCTCATATTGCATTATATATCACAAAAAAATAAATTCACAATGTGATTCTCCGGACAATATCCTACTGCATTCTCACATGGGCTCACTGGGACATTCTCCAGAGCTTTTACCAGGGGGCAGACAGGAAGAACTGACTTTTACATTTGAGTCCTCACATAGAGCCCCTGCTTCAGGATATCATAAGGAGTTCAGCTCATGTCTGAAAGCAGCTCTTGAAATATGAATCAAGAACGAATGAAGACATTCAAATGCTTGAAATAACATTTTCCTCCCATCTTTTTTCCATAACAGATGTGCTCATCAGTGTGAGTGCATAACTACACCAAATGGTGTCTTTGCTGAAAGTAGCAGAAGATATCTCCCTGCGTGTAAACTGTGCTAATCTACACGTTTAACATTTTTCAGCATAATTCATTTTTATGAAGCTTCACTGTTCTACCAGAAGAGGAAAGAAAAAAAAAAAAGAAAAGAAGGGAGAGTTGCAGGGATGAGGTTTTGCATGAGAGTGTGCCTGGCCCTCGTCCCGCGCTATGAAGACACAGAGACGAGGACCTCATCCTGCCCTCAACCATTTTTCCTTTCCCTCTCTCTTTTTTTTAGAGTCAGCGGAGAACCTCTAGTTACACTCAGAGTTGAATGGGGAAGCATAAAGTTTCCTCAAATGTTTTACAGCTGAACACAGGAAAAAAAAAAAAGGAGACGACACAAGTGCAAGTACTTTTCTGGAGAAAATGGAAATGAGATAATATTCGTTTTTGAGGATATGCAAACTTTTAAATATCTTTGACGTGCACAATGGTAAGATTTGAACTTTGACCTTTTTGGGGCATTGTAACACAGATGTCCTTGAAGCTCTCGCTTCTGATTTTTTCTGAATCTTCCCCCCATGTTGCTCCCTCTCGTGAGGAGGAAAAGCCATTTATTCTAATAGAGACAGAGCCAATTCAAGCAATCAGGACTAAGCCATAAGCCTCAGGTCTATAAATCCACTCACTTGACTGCTTAAGCTTGTGGCTCGGAAGAAAAGGAAGATTGGGATATTGAAAGAAAGATCCTTGTCCCCAAGTGGAAACACCCCATCTGTGTTATCTCTATAGATTTGACCTACATACTGTTAACTACATGCATGTCCATCGGTTTTAATGTATTAACTGTCATTTATTGTTGCTGAGATCGAAAGCAAATTCTCATAATCACCATCTTTTGAGCTGACATTGTGAAATTAACAAGTTTTGTTCTGTGGTCCAGGCAGTTTTCACATCTATTACAGAAACCCCACTAGCACTAATTATAAAAAATAAAGGGAAGGGGGGAAATTATTTTTATCTTTCGATATTAGGAGTGAAAACAAAACGAGGGAGAAAGTGAGCCAATTAAGGAAGTGCAGCTTGAGTTTCCCGATTAGTGGCTCTTTGACATTAAGTCATCTGATATGACGAGCGTGATGAAACTCCCCCCGAAACGAGCAGAAGCACCGTGGCACAGTCAGAGTGATAAACCAGAGACAGACGGACAGGGACGGGTGGCTCAAGAGACGCTGGGTCAAATGTTAGACTGTTGAGGAGACAGACAAGCTGGGGACATAAAAAATAGAATGAGGGCCAAATGGATGCAGGAAATCAGAAGTTTTTTAACTTTTCAAGCTAAACAGAAATTAGAGCCACTTGATAATAGCTGTTTCAGGGGGGCATAGAGGGGTGGGACCAGGGGGGCACTGACCCCAGCTGAGATCTGATTGGCCCCTGAAATGCTCTTGTCCTGTCAGTAGTCTTTTTACTATACAATTCTATCGATAAACATGATAATTTGCTGAAAATATTTAGAATATTTCGAAGCTGTTAAAAAAAAATCAGGACGCTTGCATGGCTGTTGGACATATAATTGTCCACTCTGTGAAATTTGTGACCCCTTTAAGGCCCCTGATTTACAAAAATTCTAGATCCGCCACTGTTCGCTTTCCCTCAGTCAACATCACAAGACAAAAAGTGAGGAATTAATCAACTCTGGCCCGTGTGAGTCTGAGTTCACAGCAGAGGGAAGGGCGTCCCTGTGTTTCCTTACATCCTTTGTGTCCGTCTGTCTTGTTGTCCAACCACATGGGAAAACCCAGGGGTGGACAAGGGCAGACAGTCTGACAAATGAAAAGGACGATGAGTCCTGGAGGGGAACACCTTTACTCTCCTCTTGCACTCTCTTCAAAGCCGCCCACTCTTATCACATGACTGCCATTACAGTTCAGCTCCAAATACATCACAGAGCTTTGACTAAAACAGAAGGAGAAGGAAAAATGACAGGGTGATAAGTTTGCAGACTGTCAGGGGAAATAAAGCGTCTGTTTTCCAAGCGGGGTCTTTTGAAACAGAGGCGAATCAGAGGCACGAGGAAAGAGACGTTTCCCCTTTCCTCATCGCGTTCAGTTCACAGTGAGTTCAAGCTGCCAAAACGTATGTGGGGTGAGAACTGCACAGGCACGCTATTTGGCAGCTTTGACGCAGCCTGTGCATGACATTGGAAAATAAGCAATATGATATGATTGACTTGTACCACAGTGGCTTTGGGCTTCCACCTTCAGACAAACAAAACCCGACAGTTTATGGTTTCGTGTAAGCCTTTATGATCCGCTCAGTTTGTCTGATAACTGATAACAATGTCTAATAACGAGCAATCAATCCACAGCATGTATTTCCTCACAGCCCTTTTTATGGTTGAAATAGAGCTAGATTATGGGCTTTCACCAGCATGACACCATCATAAGGACCTGTAAATCCATTACTGTGATGATTATCAGCAGAATAAACAAGCACAGATAGATACAAAAATAAAAAACCAGCATGTTTCCTCAGTTACCAGAGGAGAAGTCTCAGCTCTGCGACCACAGCACTTTTGAAATCACTTTGCAGAGGGTTGCTTCCATTCCCCTTTTCACTAGAGGGAAGCCTTTTCATAAAAAGTTATACGAGTCCCCATCTGAGTGGACCTGGCTCCGTTTCTTGTTGCCATCTTTTTAAATCAGCGTTTGCCTCAGGGTATTTAACTTTGATTAAAAAAGCAGAGTTGATCATGAGCTCTGGAAATATGTCGAATGCATTATGTATTGAAGAGTATAAAAGCAGCCAAGCGGCCTAATGCCTGTATTTATGCTTGGAAATTGTCCCCTGAAAAACATGTGACATTGTCTGAGGGGAATTCTTGGAGCTGAAATATGTCAGTGGTCTTAAATGAAGTGAAATTCCACATTTGAAGGCATCCGACCATATATTTTGGTTACAATATGTGAAACACATTGTGTAATAGCTTTTTACAGATGAGGCATAATGTCTACAGAGGTTAACTGAAGCCCTCAGGACTCTTTGGCTTCATCATGTAAGTGATCGGTTTCTAATTCCATAAAAACAAAGACATTGAAAGTCAATAAACTTAAATAATGTTTCCAGTCTTTACGCTAA